TCTTCTTCTTCCTGGATGGATCTGTTGAGGACGAATTCCTGAGAATGCACCCTGGTGACACCTCTTTGGGCTCTAGACTCTTTCTCTTTGAGAAGCTCCAGGGCACTGCTGGCACTCAAGTTGATGGCAGAGGTAACATCTCTCTGGTATAAGTTGGAGCGTAAGCTGCAAATCTTCAGCGGAAGGCTGGAGGCTTCTGGGCTCCATGGCTTCACAAAAATCAGGAGGTTGTGGTTCAGTTGCATATAGTCAAGATGCTTCTGTGAACCTGATGGAAGAAGCTTTTGAAAGGAAGTTTCCAAATCCTGCCCCAGCCCGTGGCATCGGTAACTATAGTTTTCATCAACGATCTCGGCTTTGACCACACCTCCTCCAGAATTCAGCAGTGCACAGACAGCCTGGATGATACTCGAGTTCTCATGTCTTTTCAGACAACCATTGGTCATATTCTTCCTGTTTTCTTCTCCCAGAGTCACTTTGCCCAAATTTACGATGATCTCAGCATAGGGCATTTTTTATGCTTCCAACAATAGCAAAGGGGTGTTCCTACATATAACCAGGGCAGAAATATTTGTATTAGTGAGAAGTTCAGAGATGACAATATTTTCTCCAAGGCTATTCATTACTGGAGATACATTTTAACATTCAACAGTCTTTTAAAAGATTCTTTAGTGAAACTAGGAACTGAACCTCTAGTTTTTCCCATTGTTTTTGAACAATTTTGCTAAATACACTTTTCAACGAGAGTAGCCAAAGATTAAAAACTGAATACTCAATAGCTTTCCATAATGAAATAAATTAAGTTGCAAAAACTTCAGCTCACTTCTGCTTAAATTTTGGATGCACCAACACTGAGTCCAGATATAAGAGAGATGGGTTAGGGCAGATGCTAAGTGAGTAAAAAAAAAAAAAAAAAGTGCAGAAATGCGGGGTAGTGGTGGATCTCTGTGAGTTCGAGGCCAGCCTGGTCTACAGAGTGAGTTCCAGGACAGGGTCCAAAAAAAAAAAAAAAAAAAAAAAAAAAAAAACCAAAGCAAACAATAGAAAAAAAGAATGTGCAGAAATAGAAGATGAAGTCAGGGGCTCTAGTCATAATACAAAGGGGAAGAAAAGCAGCAGTGGGAAACACAGGGACTAGAGTTTGGGGCTGTGTGTGGCAGGTCTTGCTATGAACACAAGTATCAGGCTGGGCATGGCAGCACATGCCTATAATCCTAGCACTGAGGTGGCTGACACAGGAGGTTCAAGAATTTGAGGCCACATATATGGGCACATAACTGTAATCCCATCAGGAGATGGAGGCAAGAGGGACAGCTCCAAAGTCATTTCTGGCTATAGTAAGTTCAATACCAGCCTTGACTAGATGAGACCCTGTCTCATACAAGCAAAGAAATAAAAAGTAGTGTCTGGAGGGATGGCTCAGAGGTTAAGAGTACTGGCTGCTCTTCCAGAGGTCCTGAGTTCAAGTAGCAGAAACCACAGGGTGGCTCACAACCAACCACCTGTAATAAGATCTGGTGCCCTCTCTGGCATGCAGGCATATGTGCAGGCAGAACACTGTATACATAATAATAAAATAAATCTTTAAAACAACAGGAAAAAAAACTCCAAAAAGTATATAACACATAAAATTTGGTATTTCATATGCTATTTTATTTTATACGTTTTAAAGACCAAATGCTGAAATTGCTTTAACTCTTCACACATCGCCTAAAGTCACAGGCAGTGTGAATATGTCACAGACAGTAAGATGTGAGGCCTTCCCTTCTAGTTTAGCTTTGTACTATGGAGCCTCTAAGATTTGGAAAAGTGCTAAATCCTTTGAGGCCCAGTTGCTAAACTGTGACCAACAACCTTTTGTTTTAAGACTAGAGTACAGCCATCTCAATTGAAATTAGAGCTCTAAAGAAAACATTTCAGAAAGATAACTGTAAAGTAGAACATTTGCTTTTTAACTGGAGCAAGTGGTCTTTCTCTGGGAAAGAGTGTCCATGCGCTGTCTGCACACAGGACTGGCAGAGGCTGGTCACAGTCCAGAGCAATTCCATTCCAATTTTTGAAACTCTATTAGAAGCGGCTTTCTTATTTTCAGGTTGCCTTCCTGGTAACTTTCATTGTTGGGGTCTATACAGCAAACCTAAGTGACTTTGGACTACCACAGTGTGTGGTCTTATAGCTCCCAGTCTCTTTGATGTTACTCGGATGCTAACTACATGAGATGACAGAGTGTTCTGAGAGTCTAGATTCCAACTGAGCATCTTTCCCACCAGCTTGAGAATTTCTCCCTCACCTTCCTTACTAAATGTCTCCTTGACTATTGCTATACCCAATGCTTCCTACTCTCAGACCTGAACTACGTCTAAAATAATGATGAGATTTAGAAAAGCAATTCTTTACCTGGTGTTCTTGTTTCCTCCTGCTGCTTCAGCTCTTCATCTGGCTCTGGGTGGAATGTTTGCCTGTTGTTGAGGGCCCTGCTGCCCTGTGATATCTGCCTGGGAGGAACAGGAACTCTGCCAGAATCCCTCAGCCTTCATAACATTGACCCACTGAGGAAGACTGATAAGGACCCAAGAAGAGTCTATGTCATGGCAGATTAGCAAGCTAAGGTCTGACCTCAGAGAGTGAATCAGGTCCGTAGAGTGGGGAAACATGGGAGCTTTCAAGTGAGCAGTCAGAGTTCCGTTTGCATCTTCTAAAAGGAATGAGCATTACTTCCACACATCACAAAGCACCTCTTTCCTGGTTAAATTGGTTTGCAAAACTGCACTCATTTGAATTTTTTGAAAAAGAATCTCACTTTGCAGCCCTGGCTGGCCTGGACCTCTCTATATAGACAAGGCTGGCTTCAGACTCACAGAGATCCCCTTGCCTCTTGTTTCATGAGTGCTGGAATTAAAGATGTGTGTCACCAGGTCTGGCTACACTCATTTTTAATTAGGCTATTCTTGTACATACATACTCACTGTGAGCAATGTTAGCTTATTTCAACATCTAAATTTCCTGTTGTGTTTTATTTACTTTTATACTTTTTCCTACTTTAAATTTTTTTTTTTACTGGACTGGAGAGATGGCTTGGAAGGTAAGACTGACTGCTCTAATTCCCAGCAACCTCATGGTGGCTTATAACTAGCTGTAATGAGATTTGGTGCCCTCTTCTGTCATGCAAATGCCCATGCAGGCAGAACACGGCATATATAATAAATCTTAAAACATTCTTACTAATCATGAAAAATTTACTTATTTTTAAAGTTTTCATGTAAGTATATATTACATGTTGAAATGTTCCTCCTATGCGTCCTAGTACCGCTTTTCTTGCCCCTCTGTCCTCCCGATAGTTCTCCTTTCTTGCCCTACAAATCTTTATTTCTGCTTTGGTGTTATATATACCTACCTGATTTTGTACACTTATAAAGAACCCATGAACCAGGAATGAGATAAAAATACAACATTTGCCGGAGACTGTCTTGCTTAATACTATTATCTCCCACTGTATCCATTTTCCTGCAAATGATAAAATGTTTCTGAGGACCAACCAAAAATTCCACTGCATCTGTATATCACATTTAAAATTTTTATTCAGAAATTAAAATATAATTACATCATTATCCCTCTTCCCTTTCCACCCTCTAACCTTTGCCGTGGCACCTGCCCCTTGGTTCCTCTCTCAAATTCTTGCTCTTTGTTTTTTTTACACATACACCCTCCTAAATATATAAGCACAAACTTCTCAGTCCATATGATGTTATTTACATGGTATTTGATTTCAGCTGTGACCTCTTGGTATTGGATAACTAATTTGTGAGCCCTTCCCTGGGACAGACTATTCCTCACGTTCTCAGTATTTCTTAGTTGCCAGTAGTTCCTTGTCTATGGTTGAAGTCCCATGAGATTCCCTCCTTCCACAATAGCATGTCTATCCATATTGTCCTTGTTCGGTCAGCATGTTGTTATACGTAATCTCACATCAAACTTCCTAGTCCACCGAGTTTTGCGATCTTTCCGCCCCCTCTTCCACTATGACTCCTGAGCCTTAGGTGCAGGAATTGTGTTGCAGATGTATCTGTTGCGGCTGGGCACTATAAGGTCACTTGTTCTCTGAAGTGTGATTGGTTGTGGTTTTCTGTGATCTCCATCTGTTGCAAGGAGACATTTCTTTGATGAGTGAGACCTATTCTTACATGTGGGTATAAGGATACATGTTTATACTGCAGTTAAGGATTGTGCTGGTTTAGTAAATGGCACTTGTAGGTTTTCCTCCACGATCAATGACTTCACAAGCCCCCCCCCCCCCTCCGGACATGGCTTCTCCTTTGGTTTCAGCCTAGTGAAACTGATGTCAAACCTCTTGCTGAAAAAAAAAAAAAAAAAAAAAAGTCTAAGGATGGCCTTAGACCAGACTTGAATAGTCTAGTATAGAGGACACTTTGTTCCTTTCTACTCTCCACTTTATATCAAACCCTTTTGTACACTGACGCGGCAGCTCACGTTCCAGGGGATCTGACACTCGTTTCTGACCTGCTGGCTCTGCACTGACATACACGCAGGCAAAACACACATGCATAATCGTAAATAAATCTTTTTAAAACTCTGTCTTTAAAAATGTTCAAGACAGGGTTCTCTCGCCTCTCCCCTACCCACTATCGAGGCATGCGTAAAATTACTATGCCTAACAGTCGCCAGGAATCCATGAACAGAATATTGTAGCGAGAAGAAAAACAGCATCGCTCGCTGTACAGAACACCACAGGCCTAACTCGTAGAACACAGACCCGGGTGCCTAGATGTCCCGGGTAAGCTGCCTCCGCCATTACGCCAGCTTCACGCTCTGCCTTTAGCTCACCCTCTGATTGGCTTCTTTTCATGTCAGTACCGCCTTACAGCTGCTCACGTGAAGCTCTGGCTGTCGCGGGATTGGCTGTTTGGAGCGCGTGGGGCTGTGGGACGCAGGCCCGCAGAGACGGAGGGGAGAGGGCGCGGGAATCCTGTGTGGTCCGGACGCAGTGTCCCTGAGCTGGGTTCAGTCGTCCCCCCCAACCCCTGCAGCCGGCAGGTGTTTCCTGATAGTCCCGGTTCACCACTGCGGATTGAGGCGCCGATTCGAGCCGCGATTCCTGCCTCAGTCCTCTTCCCCCACCAAGGATGGTTCCCGTCTCTCGAAATTGGTGGGGTTGGACTTTATCTCTTTTTGCTTTGAGGATCTACAGTGTGTAAGCTCGCGCTGGCCTGCAAAAGAATCTTGCAGAGCGCCATGTGCTAGAGGATGGGCGAATGAGAGCTTGGAGATGCCTGAGGTATGGCAGGATGACAGGTTGGAGGTAAGCTGGCATTATAAATTGTGCCGATGTTTTTCTAATCGAGGACCATAGGGCTTAGCGAAGACGGGTTGGGTATTGAAGTAATTTATTGATCCCCTGTGTTCCAGGCTCCTGTCAGCCTTGGTTATTTAGGAACTCAGTGAGATGGGGGAAAACTGGTAAACCGCTGCATAGTTGACATGTGATGGTTGCTGTGATGGAAGAGAAAGCCGTGGAGGTTAGAGGAAACTAACTAAGGTAGTTCAGGGCATTTAACAGGAAAGGTGACCTTTGAGTAGCTCAGAAAGTATACTCTGCCTTTCTCCCGTTGAGATAAGAGCGGGAGGAGGCTTCAGGTGGAGGCAGAGAACTAGGAAAACGTACCCGCTGGCCATGGCAGGAGCTTGGGTTCGCTTACTATGTCTGTCTGGACCTTTAAGTGGAATTTGTTCCGCACACTTATGCTCCCGTAATTCAGAGGAAGGGCAGGGCCTTCCTTTTGGGATTAATTGGGATACAGCTTAATGCAAAAAGTGGCAGTGTGGAGGGTCACAACTGGAGGGGCAACACTGAGCTGAAGGAACGGTTTCTACCGAGGGAAAGGGACAAGTCCACAGAGTATATCTGAGAACTTGCAAATAGTTTGGGTTGGGTGGTCTATAAGAGTTGTTAGGGTTATGCTATTAATTAGATAAGGATAAATGTGTATTTTGGATTTTTTTTTTTTTTTTTGAGACAGGGTTTCTCTGTATTGTTTTGGAACTTGTCCTGGAACTCGATCTGTTGACTATTTTGGATTTTCAATATTGCCCACGCTGGCCTCAAACTCGGGATTCTTCTGCTTCAGCCTCCCAAAGGAGTAGGTGTATCCACCATTACACCTGGCTTGAGTTTTGTTGTTTGGGGGGGTGGGGTTCTTTTTGTTCTGGTGGTGTGGTTCTGGGAATTGGCCAAGGGTTTCGCTTGTGGGTTTGAACGCCAAGCAAAGTGATTTGGATTTTATTCCCTGGGCCATGGGGAGTAATTGCATGCTTGCAGTGGCTGATTCACACTTTTATAGTTTTTCTTTTGGTCAGTGTGAATATGTGCTGTTGCCCAGGGAAACCAGAGGCAAGGAGACCTATTGAATCACAATAGGCTTAAAGTCAGTTAGTTACCAGTCCTCTCAAAGAGTGCTAGTTTTCTTAACTGCTGAGGTATCTCCCTGGTGCTAGCCAATAGATTCTGTTACATTAGTAAAGGGCAGGAGTTGAGAAGTTAAGAGGTGGAAAGATATAAACCCAGCATTCAGACCTCAGTTCTCTTCCTCATTCTGCTATTAATTGCTATAGCACTTTAGCAGGTCCTAGCCTCTCAAGAATTTTTGGACTGAAATTAGGAGATTCTGAAAAAATTTTTGTCTTGTATGGTTTTGTTTGTTCACTGTAAGTTTTCCTATGTTGCTCAGGCCTCTTAACTCCTTGGCTCAAGTGACCCTCTTGTCTTACCCTCTAGAGTAGCTGGAACTACAAGCATTTTGACTATATTTTTTTATTTTTTGTTGGTTGAATTCTATGTTAAATGATTTATAATTTTGTAGAGAATCTTTTCTATAGCTACTACTTTAAATAAGTAGGCTATATGTCTCTTCACAGACACTCCTAAGATTTTTGTCCAAATAAATGGAGGTTGTACTCATTTAACTATTTTTTTTTTTTTTTTGTTTTGTTTTGTTATTGTTGATTTGAGACAGGGTCTTGCTATGTAGCTCTGAGAACTGTCCAGGAACTCATGTAGACCTCAAACTCACAGAGATTCGAAGACAGCCCTCCCTGCCTCCCATGTGCTGAGATTAAAGAAAGGCATGCACCACCATGCCAGGGCTCTAAAAAAAAAAAAAAATTCAAGTGGTAAATGTTTCACTACTCTGTGTTATGAGAATAAAACAGCCCCCTACCCATATATAAAACTAATTTTTTTTTTTTTTTTTTTTTGGAGACAGGGTTTCTCTGTGCTGTGTACCCGCTCCAGTTGGTCTTGGAATGCACTCTGTAGACCAGGCTGACCTCAAACTCATAAAGGTCCACCTGCCTCTTACTCCAGAGTGCTGGGTTTAAAGGTGTGCACCACCACCACCCAGCTTGTTTTAAGTTTTTATTTTTGTAAAGCAATTACTACCACATAGTGGAAAGTATTTATTGTAAATTCAAAACTGAAACATCTAAAAGAAGCAGCTTTTATGTTATGTGAGCCTAAATGCTGTTTGGATATGAAAATAGGTGCTCCTTGGGGGGGGGCCAAGTGGAATGATGCAATGATGAGTGAAGTATAGTCTGACCTGGTATTGCCATTGCTTCAGCATTGGCTTTGACCAGGGCATGATTCCTTAATCTTCTCTCTGAGCTGACTGTGCTTGTCTTACCACACTGGTGTATTTGAACCTATTGGGATACTGACTTGTTATATGTAAGAGTCTTTCTTTTGTATCCCTTGAATTACTGATACTTTCATGTTTTTTTCTTTAGGTCCAGGTGAGAAAGCAGGCTTGAAAACCTAACAGAGGATTCCTCATTCTGGAAATCAGTTCCTGACTAACTTATTACTGTATTAAAAGTGTTGTAATTAACTTATGGTATTTATTTGTGTTAGACCTTTGTTTTGGTAAGATTTTACAAGAGCTTGTAAAAGACCATTATCTCTTCCGATATATGTAAGCTTTAATAATTTTAAATCCACGGGATGGATTGTCCATTTTAAAACCCAGTAAAGTTATATCATCTTTATGGTGCCAGAGAATATGCTCTCAGTTACCAGCATTTACAAATTATTTTCATTTATCCTACATTGGTTTTTCAAAAGCCATTTGTTCATCAGCTTGTCCATCCACATCCAAATAAGCAACTGAACTGTTGTGTTTCTGGTAAATGCTACTTCACACAAGGCAGCATTCTTGTTGTTAGAGCAGGATTTTTGTTCTAAGGACTAGATTTGTCTTTTTAATAAGCAAAACTTTAATCAATATAGGAATACTTCAAGAAGTCAAAGGTGATCTGAAAATTTATTTTAAACTCCTGAAGTAATTTTTTGAGTTTCCACATAATCATGCCAGCATGGACAGTCCTTTCCCAGAATCACATATTATTAAAATTTACTTAAATGTTTCATAGAAACTTTCATAATACCCAGGATGACTCATGTCAATTGAGCAAACTGTCAACTGAGAAAACTCATAAGATCAAGCAGAAAGCTTTTTGCTTCTCATTAAATATTCATTAGATGAGTATTTGGTAAACATTAGATAAGTATTTTCCAGCTTCTCACCATTGCTTGCTAGCTTTCATTCACATTGAAATTTCCAGATTCCTCCCTTAGTTTTCTTTAACCTGTTTCCCCAGAGAGACAGGTACGGCTCATGAAGGAATCTCCTAATGCTGATAATTAGCATTTGTTAATTTGATAATCAGCAGATGTTAGTAAGTCAGGTATATGGGAGGGATTGTTTCTCTAAAATGTCCCTTAGAATTTCTAGAAAGAGGAAGTCATTTCATAATGTATGTAGTCTGACAAAGCCTCCACTTCAAAGGTAAAGAAATATTTTCTAAAGAGAAGGCCTGTTTCTCAAACCACCTGTTGTATAAGGTCTGACCTGGGTTTTCCTGTGAACTTTTATCCCTTTTAATCATAGTCTCTCACTTTCATTTTACTTTTTTGACAGGCTCCCTATGGTGGCCTAAGCTGGTCTTGAACTCAAAATTCTGCTTCCATCTCTGGAATGCAGATATTACACTACCACATTCAGCTGAAAACCCTACTCTTGAGGACAAGCAACACTTAGTGGTCTTCTTTAATCCACCTCATACCACCTGCAATCCCGATTCTCCTGCTTAACCAGCTTAGTAGAGAGCAAACCAAAAAGTGAGATCAAGTGGCTATATCCTCTTAAAGGAATCCATACAGTTACTGGAAATTACTGTAGTTGTGAATTAGCGAAGTATCAGTGTTGTCTGCCATACTACAGCAGTCTTGTGGCTTTACAGTACAGAACTAGAGCTCTTTCAGTTCTCTGGAGAGTAGAGTTTAATTAGATGCTGGACTTCCGTTGGATAGCCTGTGATGGGACAGGCTTGGTGACTCCTCACATAATTAAACACACAGCGGTAACAGAACACATAGCCAGAGGTGGCAAGAACTGTATCATTCACCCGCGTTTTACGACACAGAGGGCACACTGTCTTCATTTTGGGTAGCAGGGGAGAATCAGAGTTGTAGTCTAGGTGTACAGGTGGTGGTGGGGTAGGCAGAGCAGTCAGTGATTTGATGGTTTCCTGGTTCTCAGAAGAGTACCACCAATCAAGGAACTGCAGGAAGAAGACACCCACAGACAGGCCAGTGGACAGGGATAAGGCAATGCCACCCACAGCCTTCTTCAGGGCTGACTTTATCTTCTCACCAATGCTGTTGGGAAAGAAAACAGCTTATTTGGGTGTGGTCACTGTAAGTGCAGTTCCACACTTGATAGGAGTCACTGATTTGGAGATGAGTGCTCCTGGACTGGCAAGTCTGTCGTAAGCAGTTCACTCATCACTGAATGTCAGTGTACACCTTAACTCTTAACTCTGGTGTTTCTTTTTTTTTTTTTGTTTTTTGTTTTGTTTTTATGTTTGTGTTTGCTTGTCTGTATGTGCATGCAGGTACCAGTTGATCAGAAGATCTGAAGTTACAGGCAGTTGTGAACTGCCTAATGTGGGTACTGGGAATTGATCTCTGGTCCTCTGGAAGAGTAAGCAGTACATGCCATTCACATAACCTCTGTGCCATCTCTCCAACCACCACCACCCCAACCTGTTTTTAACAACAAAAGATTAGGCTTTGACCTGAGAAAGGCAAGACATAGAATTTTTAAATAGATGATAATCCACCAGAAAAAGAAATAGTTAACTTAAAAAGTAACCTAGCAATGCTGAGATGTTTAGATGTTTGAACTTGTGGGAAAATAAGAACTAGCTAGAGGTGTTGTAGCATCATGAATAAGAACATTCTTTAGAATTGTATATTGCTCTGCATTGAATCTTGGCTTTGCATCTTCTAGCTGTTGGGTCCCCCCCCAACTTTTAAATGAAGCCATTGCATTAATTCATCAGGTTGTGATAGGACATAAGATAATGCACACAAAGCAATTATCTTCCATGGGGCCTTTCATACACCAGGCCTGCTGTAAGGTGTACCTATGATGGTGAGAAAGATTACCAGAATGTTGGACCTTGTTTATGCAGTGAGGAATGACTGCTGTGATTTAATGAATGACTGGGGTAAACCAGATGATTGATGGACAATTTTAAACTTGGTTAATGAAAGGGTTTTTTAGGAAATGTTGAGGTCTTACCTTCTGACGGGGTCCTGCATCGCACTGGCTTCAGACAGTCTATGATCTATAGCTTGTATATCCTGAGCTGTTAGTCGACCTAGCCGAACTCCAGCCAGTTTCAGAAGGGGAGAGTGATGCTCAGCCTTTCCTAGTATGTATCGAAGTTGCTGTGTAAGAAACCAGCCTTCCCAGGCCATATTAACAAATGGGTAGGCAGCCAGGAAGGCTCTGTAGAATCGTTTCCAGTGAGAAGAAGGGGGGTGAATAGAGTATTCATCTTCTTCTCTCAAGCTAGAAGCCAGCTTTTCCAGCTTCACTTTCAGATAGGGTAGAAGAACAAGGAACATGGTGGATTTCCATAGGTGACTCTTGGGAAGACCGGCACTGGCTGGTCTCTGAGGCTGCTGTGAGCTCCCTGCTACAATCCGCTTTAGGCCGTAAAAATGTTCAGAAAATGAGGCACTAGTTCTAGAAAGATAATGCTGCTGGAGCAGAAAATCTAGCAGAGTGAAGATTTCATCAAACCACCTCCAGAAGAAGCCATAGTGCGCAGGATTTGACTCTGCAAGAACCTGCAGCCCAAAAAAAAAAAAAAAAAAAAAAAAAGTTTTGATACAATCTTCAGTTTACATTCACATTTACCCTTTTCTTCTCAATTTAACACACCTGGTTTAAATAACTCGCTTTTGGAGTATAGCCTAAGCTTGAGGTCCTAGGAACCGAGTATAGTGCTTTTTGGACGATCACTAAGCCATGGATATGAATGACACACACTGGTCACTACAAACCCTTGGCTACTAGTAAAATGTTTTGAGTTCTATCCAGTAGTCCCTGGAACCGTTCAGGGAAATAATACCTTACCTTGACCACATGCTGAAGAGCGGGTCTCACTGCTGCCATTAAACTGTCCTGTGCTACCACCTCAAAGATGGATGGCTGGTCGTCCACCACCGAAGCAGTTGTGATATGAGCCCCGTGTTCAGCCATAGTATCCTGTGTGTGCTGGGATTCACTTTTCCCCGCACTCTAAATGAGCCTGAACTTGTATCAAACAGGTGCTGGGTCTTAATCTTTCTGCATGGCACCCGAAACTCCAAATTTAATTTTACACGAGAGAAAATTAACTGGGGTAAAAATTTTTTAAAAGCCTTAAGGAGACCGAAGCGAGTCTCAAAAGTTAAGGATTGTTAACTCCGAAGCTGGGAACGTGGCACATGGGGGCTGGGGAATGACTTGTCAAACGCTGCACCTCACAGGGCAGACGTGACTCGGACGCAGGTGTGGGCCAAGGGACGTGTCGCTTGAGCTGCAGTCCCCGAGCTGTGAGGCCCGGCTCCGGCTGCAGGCTGGGAGCTGGGAGGCACCTGTCCTTGCTTGCTGACCTCGGGCGCGGCGCGAAGGACCCGTTACGCCACCTGCGAAGAGAGGTCTAGGCTTTGTGACAGAAGTCGCACCCGGAAACAGAAGCTCCCAGAACCTCCGCACAGAGGGCGGAAGACGGGCGCTCTAGCATCGAATGTGGCCCTGAGCCGGAACTAGGGAACTCTATGACCAACCGGGACTTCCGCTTCCGTCCTCCTGACTTTAACGAGGCGACGGGCTAGTGTGGTACGTGGATTTGTTCCTGGCTATTTCTGCGCCGAAACTTCGGTGGAGGGCCAGCCTCTGTGCAGAACTGGAGCCTCTGCCTGACACCCCTACCCACGGACAATCAAATCAGGGAAAAATGATGGGCAGGTCCTTTCTGCGCAGATCCCACGCAGATGGTGCTTAGCTCAAATTCGTCTACCTTCCCGAGAAGTTGAAGAGACGAGCTTTAGCGTTTATTATTGTCAGTTACCAGCAAGTTTCACTAAGATGAAAAAGGTTCTTGTCCACCAGAGTTTAGGACGATTGCTTTTCATACAGGCTGGTAGCTTGTCTTCCATGTTTATAATTAAGTTACAACTCTAGGTTCATTCTGGTAGATGAAATTGGTTGCTGCTCTCTGGCTCAGTGGATACGTCATGTTAGAGATACCAGCACACTGTAGCAATCCTGAGGGTCTAGCTCGAGCTGAGTTTTGATAGACTAGGTACTTTAAGGTTTGTATACAAAAGAACACTCTGTCAAGGGGTTTGCAAGGTCCAGGTTGTATACTTAGAGTTGTGGATGGAGGTAATGGAATTTGGATGAGTTCACCGTCTCTCCGATAAACCCCAACACCTTGGCTAAAAATATGCAAAGTACTATTCACTGCTCCAGAGGATCCTAGAATGTAAAAGTAGACAATTGGTTTGTATTTAAATGGGCTTGGGTTTAGTTGTTTTAATGTTAGAAGTTACCTTTATAAAATATACTATATTTTAGTATAGTATGATTTATACTGTATTAAAATAGCTGTCAGCACAATTGTTGAATTTCTAAAAAGTTAATTTTTTTTTAAAGTAGTGTTTCTGTTGTGCCAGGTTCTCAGAGCCCCAGACCAACCCAAGGAGCCAGACAATTCCAATGCAAACGCAAAGGTTTCTCTTTATTGTTCAAGCTGGCCAGCTTGGATCTTACTCCATGGTGGGGGAATGAGATGCCAACTAGCCATAAAGGGAAGCTTTTAAAGGGGAAGACCATAAGGTTGAAGTCCACAAACTCCAGAGTTTCCATGGTTACTTAAGGTCATACAAAGTACAAAGTAAAGTACTAACTATATGTTTTCAGTAAAATACATTTGAGTAAGATAAGACAGGGCATGGAGTTGCAGGATTATAGGGTCACAGGGTCTGTCAGTTATCCCCTGGGCTAAGTGATCTTTACCACCACCAGGGGACCTTTATGACCAGCAGTTAGCAGACATAAGAATGTTTGACATAAGTGGTGGACAGTCACCTCCCTTTCTCTGAGAGTGGGGCTCAGGCATCAGCCATGGCACTCCTGATTTAAGGAGTTAAATTTTCCTTTACCATTAGAAGTTCCCTTTCTCTGTATAGACTTAGGGCCCCAGTTTTAAAAATTTTTATTAATTTTGATTTTTGGTCCATCAATTTCAGCTTTAAATTTTTCTTGCTGTGTACCTACCATTGGCTGGCTTGGTATTCACTATGTAGCCTATGCTCACAAAAATAAGTTAGCCCCAAAAGAGCAGGACTGTTTAATCATTTTAGAGTTCTGTAGCAGGAAGTAGCAAAATTTCACCCCAGTAACCTTGTTACAATGAACTACAGTGAAGTTGTCATTGTGCCCATGAATCCAATTCTAAATGCCAGGTGGGATGTGTTGGCACACACATGTGATCCTAACACCTGGGAGATTGGGCTATATGGTAGTGAGACCTTGTTTTGAAAAAGAGAAAAGAGGGAAGGGGGAGAAAAAAAGAAAGATAATCCAGTTGAATAATCTTGGTTCAGAGTCTCACTTTATTAGCCTTGGGGTCAAAACACCTTGATTAATGGACCCATGAAATTACTGTTTAAAAAGGAAACTAATTATTAGTTGAGAAAAGGAACAGAGTTAGGAATAATATGTCAGCTGGGCAGTGGTGGCACGTGCCTTTAATCCCAGCGCTTGGGAGGTAGAAACAGGAGTTCAAGGCCAGCCTGGTATACAAGAGCTAGTTCCAGAATAGTCAGGCCTACACAGAGAAACCTTGTCTTGGAAAACAAAAACAACAACAACAAAAAAAATGTAATATGTCTCTATGGTATAATATTTGCCCAACATGTATGAAGACCTAGGATCCATTCCAGTTCTGAAAAAAAAAAAAAATAGTGTCGATTTTTATTTTACTTTGGTAGTGTGTCAGTTTTTAGTCAATAATCAACACATCAAAAAACTCCACTCCTAAATGTGTAGTTTGATAGAAAACACATTATGTGTTTGACATTTCTACTAGAAGACGTTAAAGACTAAGCCTAACCATCAGGTTTGGAGATCTTAAATATATAATATGTTACACATAAAATCATATAATAAATTTTCAGTAAATAACTACTGTAGAGATTTAGCAGAGTCACTATATTCAGTGTATTAGAATGCTGGTTTTTAGAAATACTTTGACCTTGAAGAATCCTTGTGGAAACTGGTTTTCCTTGATTTGTAGAATTATTTTGCTGAAGGGACATTGTAGCCATCAGATGACTTTGGTCACAAGACGCCTCAGGCACACCCGAGGTTCTTGTATTATTGTGTATTGCAAACAATATACAATAAAAGATTAGAGCCATGGGGGTGCATAAATGCTCTTCTTCAGTAAGGCATGTTAATTAGATTAGGGATCTTAGCATGAGAAAATACTTTGTATAACTTTCAATAAATACACCTTTGAAAGGCCCTTTAGGGTCCAGTCTGTCAGAGAGACTGGACCTTCCTGCTCCCATATAGGCCTTAAAATTTCATCTTGGAGTACCTTCTTTCTTCAACTGTATTCCGTCTTCCCGGTGCACTGCAACAAACTAACTTGATTGCAATTTTGTAATTGGTTTGGGTTGCCCTGTATTTTAGTTTGTTTTTTCAATTTTGATTTTTTGAGAGAGGGATTTTCTGTGTAGCCTCGGCTGTCCTGGAACTCACTCAGTAGACCAGGCTTGCTTCAAACTCAGAGATCTGCCTGCCTTTGCCTTCCAAGTGTTGCCACGAGGCAGAGGCAGGTGAATCTCCGTGAGTTTGAGGCTAGCTTGCTCCAGGACAACTAGGGCTTTTAGATTAAAAAAAAAAAAAAAAAAAAAGTTGGATCTCTGTATCAATTCCTGAGATAAGTAGCTCCTAATAAATACTTGTTCAATAGCAGAGTGAGAGAAGCCAGAAAGCCGCTGGGCAGAAGAAGCTCTAAGGTATATAGATAACAAAAGTTTAAAAAGGTTGAGTCCCAGCATGCTAGAGAAGAGGGGCTCCAGTTGTAGACTAGCCTGAACTTTATTGCCTGACACTTTGTTGTTGTTTTTGAAGCTACTTTGTACTTACTACTTAGGCCCCAACAAGACTAAGAGTGTGTGCCAGGTGGCGCGAGATGGGGCACTGATAAATTTTCCTAGTCATATTCAATGTAGGGATTCGAACTCAGATCTGAATGCTTCTTAGCCTCATTGAGTTGCTGTCTTCTAGTTCCACTGCTCATGTATTCAGTGCTGGTTTCTATCACCTGCATGGGCTTTTGAATCTGAAAGGCAAATTAGCTGAGATTTGTTTTCAGAAAATAGGATATCTCTCACAGGTTTTACAAAATTCTCTTTCTCGGAAATAAATCCCGAGAATATCCACCAATTTAAGATACCCTTTGGGAAAGCCACTGCCCTGACCCAGAGAAAGCGAAACCTTCCCGTTGCCGAGGCAACAGGGACACAGCCTGGTTGTTTGGTTCTCCCGCGCACCAGGATGACGTCATGCGGCGAGATTCTCTTACGCCAAAGCTTCCGGCCCACCATCTTTGTCCCTGGCAAATTGGGTTTTGCGCAGTGGCTTAGATCAAGAAAGAATCGTGACGGGCAGGAAACCATTACACCGCCACCCGGGCTGTGCTCTCCGGCTGCCGCCGCCACCCCGCCCTTGCCTCCGGTGAGTTCAGGGCGGCTGGCTTTGGGGTGTGTGCCTGATTGACTGGGGGTGGTTGTGAGGGAGGGGAACTCCAAGCCGGGTCTTAGGCGCGGGAGGAAAGGAGATCCGAGGAGCGTGACGGTTGAGGATGGAGGGAGTCCTCGGGTGTGACCGTTGTGAGGGGGAGGCTTGGAAAAAGTGCCTCCTCCGTGGTGGCCGTGGCGGGACAGGGCTGCGCTCGGGTGTAGCAGCGGGTAGTTGGGGGCTTGGGAGCGAAGCAGGTTTCCAAGAGCGGGTTGGAGGAGGACTGAGGCCAGGGGTGTGGCCGCTAGAGGCTGGAGGCCGAGGGAGAACCACCCAGCTTTCGCGTTTGGCGACTGTTTATTGAGAAGCCAGAACGTGTCCATCCTGCAAGCAAAGGGAGAAAGGATTCCCCCCCGACTGTTTGGCCATTGAAACCTCTCTTGTCACCCGTATTTGGGGTTTAAAGGTTTCTCTTCTTACTTCCTACTGGTGAAAACTGACCAGTTCTCCAGGGTTTTGACCTGGGGAATTGGGTAAAGAGAAAAGGGGACTAAGTGTATTTCGAGGAAGGAAGGAAGGAGAAACCTGCAAAATTGACCCCCTGTGTGAGAGGGGGAAGCCAATGAAAGTAAATCTTAGCCCGGAGTTGTTTTCCCCCGCCTTTCTTCCCTGGGGTTATCACGAGCAGTCTAACTAGACTGGACAAGGCTGTAAATTCTACTGGAAGTGAAAAAACTGGAATTTCCTGCTATTTCTTTATTCTTTGAATTCACAGCATGCATTAGCTTTATGAGCAGCCAGCCCTCTTTCCATTTAGGGGAAAGCTCTTATAAAGCTTCGGCTATTTCTTTACGAAGCAGTGTGAATGTGTCATGGATGCTTCATTGAATTTTTTTTTTTTTTTTTTTTAACTTTTAAAAGGCAGAGTGTTTTTAAATTGCCAAACACTTCTGCAACCATTGTGGTTTAAAAGTCAAAAAATACACAATAAGCTCAGAAAGGCAAGTTGACTAAGAAAGTGCTCTCAGCGAGGAACAGTTTAAATTATTAATTGCTTTCCTTGTGTAGTTCTGCTTAGCCTTAGGGTGCACTTACAAAGTAATAATAGAAAGCGGCAGGTGAAGGAGGTGCAGCAGAGGGTAACACATCCCAGTGATGACTAAGTGAGGCGTGGAATGAGAACTGATCGCAAGTGTCTTACAGGGCAAACACCCAAGAAATAAAGGGGAGTGTGTTCTGCAAACAGCCTCCCTAAAGTTAGATGGTAAACTTAATATAAAGGAAATATTTTGACGAGTTAAGGCTCAAAGAAGTTCCCTTACATCTTTTTTTCTTCTGTAAAAGACCATAATTTTCAACTATTATGTCTTAAGGCACACAAGATTAGGAGTATTCAGAGAGGACTCTGTCCTTTGTTTTTTTTTTTCCTCCTGGTTAAGTTTCCCAAAATGCCTTGGCATTTCTTAAACATTGGGTATAAGATTGTTGGGCTTCTTTCTTTATGTATAATACTATAATCATGAATTAACTTATTGTTATTAAAAGAAACCAGAGGTGAGTTTGGCTTTTAAATATTTTATTTCTGATAAGGTAATAAGCTGAAGCTGCTGTTGCCCTTGTGCTATGGAACATTTGGCCAGATATGATCTTTACACCTGTCTCGACCTTTGTACGTAAAGGTTGCTGGGATGACTCTTCTGCTCACAGTTCGCCCAGCTTTGGCTAGTTCCTGACTATGTGCAAAGAAGAGAACAGTGGCCTGGCGACGATTGTGTTAGTTGCCATTTCCCAGAGAACCATTTGAAATTAAGAGCTCATTAGCTTTTTTCTGACCTTATTTTATTCACCCTACTAATCTCATTTCAATGTTGAGTTTCTCTTTTGGGGAATTGGAGGAAGGGGAGGAGGATGGGACGTCAACAACCTATATTTGGCAGAAACTAGGTTATGTTAATCTAGATCTATAACCTTGTACAGTGAGGCCTGTGAAAGGCGTGGCATCACACTGTGAGCTAGGACAAATGCAAGTGATTATGTGCTTTGCCTGCTTTGTTCTTTAACAGTGTCCCTAGGCCACATCAGGTTTGATGTTGTATAAGGTCAGATGAGTTCAAATTCCATTGTGGCTTGCTTATTTCTAGGGATTTCCTGAAAAACAAAAATTTACTTAGTAGGATTTTGAGTTTTGAAGAACTAGGCAAGTTGTATTTCCTCCAGCTCTATCCTGGCTATTTTGCTGTGGTTTCTAATATAGGCATAGTTTTCACATCATATATTTGAACAATCTGGCTGTGTCTATCTGGCGAGTGCTTGCAGGTATTTTATTTAAAAATTGGTATATGTAATTATTGGGAGTTGAAAATCACAGTGACATTAAGGGTCTGCCCCATCAGCTCCTTTCGTTTTTAATTAAATATTTACTGTTTGTATATGTCCAACCCCATTCCTCCCTTTCTACTCCTTTGCTTTTGTTTAGGCTATTTTCATTTTTCCTTGGAGGATTTTTTTTTTTTTTTTTTTTTGCTTAAGGCAAGGATAGACTTGTTACCATGTTTCTTTCCTATATGATGGGGGATGGGGAGTATTTCATCACATTTGTTTACCATGGTGTCAGTAAATGAGCAATGTATTTATCTGCTAATTTTTCTTCCTTTCTTCCACCTTTTTTCTTTTGATGGAGAGGTCTTATGCTTGCTAGGTAAGCACTCTATCATTGAGCTGCCCTACTCTAAATTGGCATTGAGGATTGAGCACAGGGTTTCCCATATATTAAGCAAGCCCTCTACCATTGAGCCCTTTTTTATTACTTTATTTTGTGAATGGGTACTTTGCATGTAGGTCTATATACCACTGTGTACTCCTCTGGATCCCCAGATAGTTGTGAGCTGCTGAGTGAGTGCTGGGAACCAAGCCGTGGTGCTCAGGAAGAGCAGTCAGTGCTTTTAACTGCTGAGTTGTTTCCAGTCTTATTTTGTTTTTGAGACAGTCTCATATTACCCAGACTTATCTTACCTTCCCAAGTAGCTGGTCATATCTTTTTATCTCTTTTTGTTGGAACAGAGATTCTTGGTTTAGGATCTATATTACAGGCTTTTAAAAAATGATTATTGTGCCTCATGCTCAAGAGGGTGTTGGATCCCCTGGAACCCGAGTTAGAGACAGTAATGAGTCTTCATGTTGGGTGCCAGGAATCGAATCATACAAATCATGAAACATGTAGGCTGTTAATAAAGATATGATTTAAGGTGGCTGATTTACTTTAGAACAGAGTATGTTGAGAATTCCTGTTAGAATTTCATGTCATCTGGGTATAGTGGCACATGTAATATCGAAGCACTGAGGCAGAAACAGGAGGATCGCCATGAGTATGAAGCCAGTCTGGTATTTATAGCAGGTTTCAAGCCTGTGAGGACTTATAGTGAAGACCCTATCTCAAAAGAAAAGAAAAACTAATATGTGTATGTGAGTGTTAGAAAACAGAATACTTTTGTGTACTTTCCCCAAGTAACTGGGTGAAAAACTTCCAAACAAATTTTGTTTTTAAATTTTAGGTTTGAAGTTTTGATGATTCCTTAGGATTTAAAATGGTGTAACAACCTGCTGTACATATAGTAATGGTTTTGAGCGTTAGCTATAGTGCTCTTGTCAGGCCTTAATAATTGTTTCTGTATGTCATCTTTTTCGTTTGTGTTTGTAAACTCACAGATAAGATTTGAAACAGGGTCTCACTATATAGCCCTGGCTGACCTGTAATTCATTATGTAGACTAAGCTACCCTTGAACTCAGGGATCCACCTGCCTGTTCATGTGAAAAATCCCTAGCCAGGTGTGATG